GAGAAAGAGACTACAGCTAGGATGAATTTCATTCGAAGCAAGAACGACTCTTCTCCCTTCCAAACAAGTTTCCAATGTGTTCTTCAAATGCTAATTATGCAAATACAAGGTGCATGACTAACTTCTATTCCAGCATTCTGTCACATCATTTGTATGGGGTGTAACAAGCACGTGCCATGTCCGCATTACTCACATTTGTGCAAGTTGAAAGTGAGATTGCCACCTGTTCATCATTTTTCTGGTCTGTTAATATTTTAGAAGCTTCATCCATAATATATAGAGCATGCATTGCAGTTGAAGTTTGTCCGTCTTTGCTATGAAGAGAAAAATGCGTGGCAGAGAAATTTTAAATAGCACTACCTTTAGTACACACACACACACACACACACACACATATACGGTTTTGAAAAGAGGGGCTGCAAGAACCAAAGAGCCTACTGCGGGCAAGTGGGCTGGATCTGTCACTTGGTCCAACTTTTTCAGGACTCGGTTTTCTACTGTTTTGTGGTAAAAGGTCTGTTGTAGTGCTGTTGAATTGTACAAAAAAAAAGACCTCCAGAATTTCAAAGATCAGAATGTTTACAATGCTTTACTTTCATACTAAGATAGGCTTGTAAATAATACCAGAAAGTTACTTGTCCGCATTTTAAAAGTTACTCTGAAGGATAAGCAGTTATTGACTAGGAAAAGCGGCTAAGTCTTGCAGAATGACAAACCTTGACAACTCACAGCTTTTCTACATGATGTGTAGAAAATTATGTCCTCATAATTCCCTACTTACGGTTGCTTACAGGTTCTTTAGAGCATCCTCCAGATTTGCTTCTTTTAAAGAGCACTTTTGGCAAGTCTATTTTGATCAGGGAAATGTGGCATTATTTCTGAAGGCCAAAGAAAATGCCTTCTACTTGTGCATTAGCCCTATTTTATAGTACTACAGTGCCACCTAAAGGTTATGAAATGGAAAGGCAGGAAAGGAAGTCTCAGATCTCAAATCTGTTCTGAAATGGAAAGTAAATAAAATAGGCTAGCAGCTACCTAAGAACAATTTAACAAAGCATTCGCCTTTGCTAGATTGTTCTTAAGGCATTTGTCTAAAAAGGCGTAAATAAGGGGATAGACTTGACAGGGACAGTGGCAGGCTATGATGCTGCTATTCTAGCCTATAACATTTCATGTCTCTTTTGGGTAGAATGTTGGGTGGATTTAGGAACACCAGAAAAACAGAAAAAGAGGACAAAAGAAGGCAGTGTATAACATTTGTATATGCTGATGTATTTATATATATGCATATTTAGAAATGATTATTCTAAATTCAATATTATTATTATTATTAGAACATTTCTATGCCGCCCCTTGCCGAAGCCTCGGGGCGGCTTACAAACACAATAGATATGTAATACATATCTGCACAGTGCAGAAGTTGATCTACGTGCTCACCTGCTCTGAATGCTGTCCAGGTGTGAATGTTGGTGGGCAATAGGTCTTAAGGTTCTTTAAACCAGAAATGGACAGGGCAGTCCTTCATATAAATGCCAGATCAGAGCAAACAAGACTTGCTTTTAAGTGCTGGATTGGTGCAGAACAAGACTTGTCTCATTCATGATTTAGTAGTGGATGAGGCAGCCGATCTGGCATGTATAACTGAGGCCTGGGTGGGTGAACAGAGAGCGGTTAATCTCTCCCACTGTGCCCACAGAGACAACTTGGGTCAGCTTCATGGTAGACTGTAGGGCTGAGAAGGGGCAATTGCCCTGGTCTACAAGGAATTCTTGCACCCCATGCAGGCTCCCCACCTGCCTGGCTACCAGTTTGCTTCCTGTGCTGGACTAGCAGGACAATTATGGGTTCTTTTGGCGTGCTGTGCTCCTACCTGAGCTGATGGAGGTGATCTTGGATGTGATGCTGAGGTCCCCAGGCTGTGGGTTCGCTGGACATTGACATTCATGCAGGGGGTACTATGTATAAGGTCCGGGATGTGGCTGGTAGGCAGCTACAGACAGGGGGCCAGGGCCAGGGCTCAGATGCAGGGTGGAGGCTTGTACCAGATTCAGAGGCCAGAGGCCAGGCACTGGACAGTCCAAGTCAGTTGCCAGCAAAGTTCGGACACCAACACAGTCCAAGGACACAGGTCAGGTAATGGCAAGACGGTTCAGGAGCAAGGTGAGGTCAGGGAGGATGGGTGCAGGAACCTGGCAGGCAGGGTCAGGCGGGAGGCAAGGATGGAAGCAGGAGCAGGCTGGTGCTGGGTTGGAGCTGGGTGGGAGGCTGGCGGACAGGCAGGAGCAAGGGCTTGGTTGGAAGGCCAAGCAGCACTCAAGTTGTTGTGGCAAGAAGCAGCAGTGCGGGGAAGCCTTTTACGTGGCTCTCCAGGGCTTCCGACTGAGCTGCTGCCAGAGCTGCTCCCTACAACACCTGCCAGATGTCCCTGGTTCTGCAGGCAGTTGCAGGTGAATCCAGCTCTGACCCTGGCACCATGTCTGTGGTGGCCCAGGATTTCATGGTGTTCATGCCAACCACGGGGCTATCTCAACACGTCATTGGCCCAGTGCCGGTCTCCCCACCCCACCGGTGGGCACAGGGATGGGGATCCGAATGTGGAGGGCCTTGATCCAGTCTCTTTGTCATGGTCAGATCAGGTGAAGACTGAAAGTGGCTTTTTCTCTCCACAAGGGTGACGGACCCATTAGAACCACCTGATCCTGGAGGCTGATCAATGCAGATGGTTTCCAGGCTTTAGGAGCTTCCAGCTGGTATGGCTGGCAGTCCTGTCGAAACCTCTGGAACACAGAGTGGACCGCTTCTGAAGTGCCCCCTGTTGTTGGGAGTGATGATGCAAGGCTGGAGAAGGCCTGCTTGCACAACTCATAGTGGGGGCGGTTGAGCCCAAGGATGCTCCTGCAGTCAGGTATACCTATGGACAGTGAGGGCAGCGATATCACCGCCTCCATTCATTCTTCCATGTGTGGCTCAGCAGAGGTTTCTCAGTCCATGTGGGCCCTGCTATTTGCTGGCCATGAGGATGTTGTAGACCCATCTAAAGCCCACTGTAAGGTCTTGCTTGCTAGGCACTTCCAGGACAAAATTCCCTGCATCCGTCTGGAATTGCACTCCAATGTTATAGCAGCTGAATTTGGTGAGGCTCCCACAGCACTAGTTATTTTGGAAGAGTTTCAGTCGGCGCTGCTAGAGGATGTTGACAAGGCACTTGGAAGATCTGTTCAGCCACTTCTGTATTGGATCCTTGCTCCTCTTGGCTTGTAAAAGCAAGCAGGGAGTCAGCAGCTAGCTGGGTAATGGGGGGGATATATGCCTCCTCGCATGCCACCTGGAATCCTACAGAGCCTGGGCCATAGGATTATTTGGAGATCCCGATCCAAGTTTGGGAAACAGCTCTTACCACAGACCTGGGACTCCATACCCACCACAAACAGCTAGCAGAAGTTGCATTTCCAGGGTTGTAAGATTGGCCTTGGAAAAGGGGCATCACAGTGCCAATTTGACAATATCTGTTGTATTATTTTAATTGATATTTTCAGACAGTTCTGGGGGACTCTGAGAAGCAGGGGGCACCTCATTAGTGTGGTGACAAGTAGGGGGGTATAACACTTGGGGAGCAACTGGCTGGATGAAGAGAAGAGGGAGTAAATATTTGGCTGATGTTCCCTCTTCTGGTTTCTCCCACATCCAGAAGATCCCAGGCAGCTGGACCAGCCTACCCTCAGGCTTGGTGGTTCTGCTGCGAAATGCCAGGTTGATCCAAAATAACGTCTCTGTCATCCACAGTCTTATTGAGGATACTTGGCACATCACCACCCTGGCCTTGGGAGTTGGGGAGCGGGTAGCCATAGTCTACAGCAGTGGTGGTGAACGTATGGCACGTGTGCCACAGCGGGCATGCAGGGGCCGCTCTGTCGGCACGCGAGCCAAGGGGCACCAGCATCGATCCAGCAGCCGTGCATTGGATAACGGCAGACACAGGGGCCATGCGCATGCTCGGAAAGGAGTAGGTGCCAGGCGATGATGTCACGAGCCACGATACATTAGCTGTGACTCGTCCGAGCTTTTGCATGGCTGGTCAGTGTGCTGTCAACGAGATAGATAGATAGATAGATAGATAGATAGATAGATAGATAGATAGATGATAGATAGATTGGCTTGGACTTGCTGTTTTCAGGTTTCATAGCAGTTACCACTATTGGGTTGCATTTTGGGCAATTGGTCTCTAAAAGGTTCAACATCACTGGGCTAGAGTTAGAAAAACGAGGTGTCCTGGCATGATTTTGATGTTTGGAATGTGTTTAGAATGGGCAGAAATGATGAGCTGTGCAGAAAAAGCTACTCAACGAAGGCTTTTTCAATATTCGCCTCTTTTCAATGACATTTTTGCCCTATATTAGGGTTTGGGGTGTGCATCAGGCTACAAGCCCTTTCTTGAGCCTTCAAGTTCACTTGAAGTGGGTCTTGACTCTTTGTACCTGGTGTTGGGCAATCATGACGGAGTGGAGATTTTATTTTATTTTATTTATTTATTTTATATTTTTTAATAAATATTTAATGTTTATATTTTTGATTTATATTATAATTATTTTAACTTAGTGTTGTAAGCCGCCCCGAGGCTTCAGCGAATGGGGCGGCATAAAACTGTTTTAATAAATAAATAAATAAATAAATAAATGGAGTGGAGATTCTGTTATTGTACTGCCCACCCTGTTGCACATCAGACTCCCTGGTGACACTCAGATCTACATCTTGTTTACTTCTAACCCGGGTGTGATAGAGACAGTGTCTGGCCAGAGCGATGAACTGGATGAGGGCTAACAAGTT